AAGAGAAAGGGATTTAGGGGTAATTATTTCAGACGATTTCAAGGTAGGCAGACATTGTAATAGAGCAGCAGGAAATGCTAGCAGAATGCTTGGTTGTATAGGGAGACGTATTAGCACTAGAAAGACGGAAGTGGTCATGCCATTGTACAGAACACTGGTGAGACCTCACGTGAAGTATTCTACATCGTACTGGAGACCATATCTCCAGAAGTATATTGATACTTTTGAGAGAGTTCAGAGAAGGGCTACTTAACTGGTCTTAAATCAGAGAGGCAAAGGTTTAAAAATAATATCAGGGAGTAATACTTTACTGACAGGGTAATGGATGCATGGAATAGCCTTCCAAGTGAAGTGGTAGAGGTTAACACAGTGAAGGAGTTTAAGCATGCGTGGGATAGGCATAAGGCTATCTTAGCTATGTGAAAAGGCCAGGGACTAATGAAAGTATTTAGAAAACTGGGCAGACTAGATGGGCCGAATGGTTCTTATCTGCCATCACATTCTATATTTCTATGTTATAGAGCAAGCACAAAGTCCATTTCAATAGGAGAGGACTTGTTCCTGTTTTGTTTGTAAGTGCATCATACATTTAGAGTTACTCAGAATAAATAGATGCCCACACAGGACCAGCAATGATGCCAACCATTACACAAAATGCATTGGAACTTTAAATAGTTTTGTTACAGTGAAGTTATGGAAAGGAGTAGGAGGTGAGTACAATGTAAAGAAAATCAAAGATGAAACTGCTCATTTTAACCCATGGAAGTAACTCTAAAACTGCAAAAACACATTCTAAGTTTTAAATGGGTGCATTTATTCCTAGTTATATAAGTAGAAGTGATAGATTTGTGTGAAACATTGCAAATCTATGTGCAGCAAGGTAGCTGGTTTGATTTCCTAATATCACTGTACTTCCTTGTCAAGCATGTGCATTTCATATAAGTAAAAAAGGGAGCATATTTACACTAACTATATCCTGATCCCTGTTTTTGTTTGAATATCTGATCATGCATATTCCCCGGTACTACTAATTGCAAAGAAGTCATTGGTAGAAAGATGCATGGCACATATCTGTCCAATTAAATCAGACATGGAATTCTCAGACAGACAACCATTATCATGATTCATCCTTAAATCCTATTAACAAATTGTAAATGCTCGGGTCTTTAAATTGCCCCAATAATATCTTGTTTGATACTGACGGTTGAGGCCATCTATGACGAAAAAGTGAGGTGTTTAACAACATAGAATAAACTGTGCAAGCACAAAATACTGTCTTGTAGCCTTTAAGAAAGGTCAACTGTGTGTGTATACATAGAAGTGATGGCTCCGGCATTTTAAATGCCCTTATTAGATAATGGATGCCCAATGAAAGTGCCACTTCACTGCACTTTGACATGCTGCTAATATGGACACTGGTGAAGAGTGACAGAGTGCATTGTCCAGCAAGTTATTCTGGAATGCATATTAGGAGAGGAGGCATTCACAATCTTTGTATCCAGTTCAAAGAAGTAAAGCTATCTGAATATATGCAACAGCAGTGTAAACAAACTCGATATAATATGCTCCAGGGAAATGGACATTAATCAATGTTTCAGATAAAAATTCTACAGTGCTATAGACAGTGTATAAATTAAGTCAGGTATTAATACATTGTGCAGGAGGCATTCTAAGTATTCTGCATACTAAGTAGTCAATACATTCTTTTGAAAGGTAATGTCATATATATATATGCTGTATGCTTTGAGAATTTGATGGTGGAGGGCATGGAAAGGAACTTGCTCACAAAAGAATCGAGACAGGTTCACACAGAATCTTTCTGCCTTCAGACGAGAAGTGAACGACTGCAGAGCCTGCACTGAAAGGGTGAAACAGATTCTGCGAGGACGTTTTGTAATAAATAATTCCTCTTTACCAATGGAAAGAAACAAACTTTTGCACTGAAAGGGTGAGACAGGTTCTGCAAGGACGTTTTGTAATAAATAAATCTTCTTTACCGAGGGAAAGAAACAAACATTTTGCACTTTAACGACACGGAAGCCGTTAATGTGCACATTACCTAGGTAAAGTGCGGAACACTCTTGATTCCGCACATTAACAGAGCAAATCAGTTAATCTGCAGATTAACTAGGTAATGTGCACATTAACGGATTTCTCACTTTAGCAGTAACATATACATATATATATATATATATATATATATATATATATATATATATACACATACATACAACAGAGTTGTGGTGGGGAAAAAAGTGTGGATGAAAACCCCTTCCACCTGAAGTAAGTGGATAGTTAATACATTGCTAAACACAAATACACACAGCAGTCAAGCCATAAGCTGCGACACGCGCGGCAGGTAATCAGAGAGCACCGAAACTTCAGTGGGAAATGTGTCTATAACCCCCAGGCAAGTCAGCCTCCCCCTCCCAGATACCCCTATTATGTTCCAAGCTTGTGCAGCATGACTGCTGCCCCGGTGGAGGGAAAAGTTTTCCCAAACTGCTGCTAAATTATGACAGGGGCGGCAAAAATGCCACCTCTGTCAAGATGCAGCCTGGAGCCACTGCTCCATTGGGTCCAATGAATGGGCCAGCCCTGTACTAACCACATTATACTGAGAACACCCCACATGATTTGCTATTTTGGAAATACTCTCGTCTAGCGATCATTATTTGGACCTTGTCAAAGTTACTCCGATCTTTTTGGTTTCCCATTTTTCCTGCTTCCAAAACATGAAATTCAAGAACTGGCTGTACACCTGCTTGCCAGTTGATGAAGCCCTGTGTTGGCGAAACGTGTTTTGGCTGTTTTTAATATTTTTCTATTGTGTAATACTAAACGAATATTGTCCCTTTAACTTCTCTTGTGCCATATACCTTTTTTATATTTTCTATATTTTATTTTTATTTATTTTATTTATTTTAACCTGGTCACCAAGATTATCGGAGTATCCACTTGCAAAAGAATCCTAGGTGGGGATTATACCACTCACGCTATAGCATATCCTGCTCACCTAAATGTGAGTACAAGACCTTTTATACTTAACTTTGATATAAATTGTATACAGAGAGCACTATTTCTGTTCTCTTTCCCCATGCCGAGAAACCTTTACCTCTAGTAACCTATCAACAATCACCATCTATATCTTACCAGTGGGGGATCAACGCCATTGAATGCCAGTTACGCCTGATCTTGTACTAGCTCTCAAATAGGTGAGTAGGAATACTACTGCTGTAAAAGTTCCCATTTGCGTGCCTGCAACAAACTACACTATTTGAGTTTATTTTTCCATTTGCATGCTCAAACAGGACTAAGAAGATTCTACTACCTCAAGACTCTCACAAATACAGATCCACATCGTATCCAAGTACCTCAAACAAGTTGGACTTTCTTTTTAACATCTTATAATCTGGACTATAATATATTTTAGTTTGGCATTTTTAAGTAAGTATATTATTTGTATTATACTATTTTATTGATTTTACTGTGGCGCAACCTAATTTTATATTTTATTGTACACTTGCTGCCTAATATATCCCACCCCTTGACGGGTGCCATTGTAACAATATAATCAATGTTATCCATGTCACCTGTCAGTGATTTTAATGTTGTTGCTGATCAGTGTAAGCATGTGTGTATGAGACTTGTATAGAAAAGAAAAGAAAAAAGAAAGTGCAGAAAGAAAGAAATTAAAGCCTGTGCATACCTCCAGAGTGGGGAGTAACCCCTGTTGTAGACAATTGTTGAAATGTGGAAGGCAAGGTGTACTTATCTTCCTGGTGGCTTCAGGGGATTTGAACTCTGGACTTTTGTTGCTTTGGTCCTGCTCTCTTTCCTCTGAGCCACTCATCTACTTATGTTTTTTTTCCTTATTTCCAGCACTAGGGGCTGAACTTTACTTGTGGCTGTTCATGTCTATCTAGCCTACCTGAAGCAGATGTTAATCAGCTTGGTATTTAAGCACCGCCTCACCCTGAGAACTTGGTACCTGGTTATTGTTCCTGCACAGCCCCCGTGCACAGACCAGGTGAATTCTTACCTGACCACCTCGGTCTGTGTCTATTTGCAATGGTGAGCACACATCTCTACACTTCAGACTCCAACCAAGATAAGACCGTTACAGAGATGTGCACCCTGCTTTCCCAGCAAGTGTCCAGTCTGGCCCAGACTGTTGCAGAGCTGCAGCAAGAAATTCTATTCCTTAAAGGCACAGTATGCCCAGCCCCGGAACCTACTTATCCTGAGCCATACGTTGTTATGCCTGAAAGGTTCGATAGTAGCCGTGCATCCTTCCTGTGCTTTAAGGTGGATTGTGAAAATGTATTTGCCTTAAAGCCTCGCATATATATGCCAGTGACTTTATCATGGTCCGTGCGGCTATTAACCTGCTGTCCGAATGGATCAACACATGAGCATGTCTTGCAGTCTTAGACATGCTGCAGTCTAAGAGTCCTGTCCTCGACAGTTGGGCATCCTTCATGACTGCAATGGACTCGCAGTGCAAGAACACCGTGGCTAAACCTGCTCCACATCCCAGAAGATCCCAGGTTCCCAGAAATAAGGAGCTTCTGTACCAATGTCAGGCCTCCTTGTTACCTCCTTATGATCCGGTCCCGAGGGAGACTCCAGAGGAAAAAGAGGAGCCCATGGAGATCGGCTTCATCTGTACTAGACTGTCGTCTAGAGAAAGAGACCGAAGGAGAGCTTGTGGCCTCTGTTTCTATTGTGGAGAAAAAGGGCATTTTATCTCCTGCTGCTCTATTCGCCAAGCTCGGCCTAAGCCTTTTCGAGTAGGTACCATTCAGCTTCACCCTGTCATCCCTGCAACACAGTCTGAAAAATGTCAAGGATGCTGTTGTACATTTCCATGTTCAGTGACGCAGAAGAGTATCCCGATTGCGAAGGTTAATGATCCCAGTGTTTCCCTAGAACACACAGCCAATCCTCCTTCAGATGATTTACTAAGTTCTCATGATTTTGATGAAGAATCTGTAGTGATGCACTATGATGCTCCGCCCTCAGAAGACATTGGTTCTGAGAATGAAGCTATGAGCGATTGTCCAGAACTTATGACTACTACTCCTATCATCCAATCCACAGAAAAACGGAACACGACAAAACATCACTTTGGTACCCCTGGACTTGTGAAAGCCAGTGATGGCACTATCATGCCAATTAAAGAACTTTGCCTTTATGAAAGTTATCTGGATGCTATGAGGTATGTGGAGGCTAACCCTCCTGAAGACACCGCCAATCAGGTTTTTACGTGCTCTTCCTCACAACCAATACCTACCGGGGAAAAAACTATGGTATCAAGAGTTATCAAATATGGCTTAATAAAGAAAAATAATGATCCCATCCTTACACTAGGTACTAGAGAGAAATACCAAACCGTCAAAGTCTCATCTAAATCTAAGAAAAAGAGGCAACAAAGTTCCTGTTCACACCCTGTGGGCAATTTTTGAGGAAGGGGTAATGTCACGATTGCCATCATGACATTTGGAAGGTAAGGTGTACTTATCTTCCTGGTGGCTTCAGGGGATTTGAACTCTGGATTCTTGCTGCCTTGTTCCTGCTTTCTTTCCTCTGAACCACTCACTTACTCATGGCTTTTGCCCTGCCTTGCCTTATCTCCAGCACTGGGGGCTGAACTTTACTCGTGGCTGTTCATGTCACCGCCTCACCCTAAGAACTTGGTCAGTTCATTGTATCCTGATTCCTGACTGACTTGGTTTTTGACTCCTGTTTCTGTATATTTGCTATTGCCTGTTCGCTGCCTGCCCTGACCCTTGGAAACTCACCTGACTACTCTCCTGGATTTGCCCTTGTCTGTTTCCTCATACCTGGTTATTGTTCCTGCACAGACTCACAGACCAGGTGAATTCTTACCTGACCACCACGGTCTGTGTTTATTTGCAAGGGTGAGCACACATCTCTGCACTTCAGACTCCAACCAAGGTGAGACCGTTACAACAATAAACAAAAGCGAAAGAGGAGGATGCAGAAACTAATAAATAAGATGGAATACTGTATGAATGAAACAATATCTGTAATAATAGATACAAAGAAAGAGTAGCCCCAGCTGGGGGGAGACTCAATGCTGATATGTGTGCATAAGTAGAACAAAATAATACTTAACAGCTAAATAGCTTCCTTCAGAGTTCTATATGTTGCCACATGTATCCAAAATTGCTAATCCCTTTATGTCATTCCTATATAACAAAGTACAATGTGGTCTATCACTGGGTGGCAAAAATAAAAAATGAAATAAATAAAAAGCCTCATCTGATGAGCTGACTTAGCAAAATGTACATCAGGGAGCAGGGGCTCTGCCACTTCCACCATATTTTCTTAAGTTTGTTACCTAGCACTTGAGAATTCATACTCCAACAACTGCATCACAGCACTTTTACCTGACTCTCAGATAATTGTTACCGAGGACTTGACTATTTTATTAAACTAGGGGTGGTTGGGGGGATAGACATTGCTTATAATGGACAGGGTTTTTTTAGGGGTAAGAGGTGCCCATGAAGGCACAATAGGGAAAGTCATCTTGCTTCTTCTGTTTCCCTGTACTTTCCTTTTCCCCCTATCCCTGGAGCTGGAGATACACGCTTAGGCAAGCTCCAAATCCCCTATCACAAAAAACCTTTTGCTTTCTACCCCTATTCATCCCCCCCCCCCTCCTATGTTGTCACTTCCTAATTTCATATCACTATCATCACAGGGAATGTGCCGAAGTAATTTTGGTACCATGCTATACTGCAGGGATGTCTATACCAAGAAAGGAATGTTTATCTACTAAACAACTACTTGTAGATGTGTTACCCTGTTTAACCATTATTACAGGCTAACAACTCAAGTATATCAGTCACCAGATTTCTTTTATTTGGAACCTAATTATAGATATTGGTGGAACAGGCTTAGCTGTTTTTAACGATTGAGGTTTTGTATATTTTTTTATTTTTTTTGTTAGTTTTGGTACTTTTTCATTATTATTATGTACATAGTACAAGGTGTTCAGTGTTTTTAGTAAACTATTGACACAGTCCTATTTTGGACTTTTTATTCTTATTACTTATTAAAAGTTAAGTCTCATTACAGATATTGTTTCATTCATACAGTATTCCATCTTATTTATTAGTTGCTGCATCCTCCTCTTTCGCTTTTTTGTTTATTAAGCATGTGTGTATAACAAATAACTTCACAGCACAATTTCACATCTTACCAGTTAACTGTTATATCTGGAACCAGGAGCACAGAGGTCAGTTCTAGGAAAGAGACTAAGCTCCTCCACATGACATACAGTCTCTCTTTACTCGGTTTAAGGTGACATGGTAGTCCAATGTCGTGGACATCCATGCAAAGGTGGGGAAATCTTCTGGTACAGTGTATATTTATGACCCAGATGAAACTGTTCTGGTACACTAAAGTATGCATGTATATAAAGTGGAACCTGACAGGGTTAGAAAACAAAACAAGTTTGAGTTATATTTCAGTATGCTGTAAATGTAACGTGCATAAATATATTGCAGTAGCAGTTAAGAATGAGGAATTTGAGGATTCATGGGCAGAACCAGGTAATGTGGTTTAGAGGCCACACACAGAGTAATATTAGAGAGACCAAAAGAAAAAAATGCAATACACCACTGAAAGGATTTTATTTACGCAATATTGTTCTGTGTGCATTTTAACCCCTTAGTGACCAAACCATTTTTCAATTTTCTTACCGTTAAGGACCAGGGCTGTTTTCACATTTCTCCTGTGTTTGTGTTTAGCTGTAATTTTCCTCTTACCCACACATATTATATACTGTTTTTCTCGCCATTAAATGGTCTTTCTAAAGATACCATTATTTTCATCAAATCATATAATTTACTGTAAAATCTATTACGCATCTACAACCGCCAAAAAACACCCATGCTAAATAGTTTCTAAATTTTGTCCTGAGTTTAGAAATACACAATGTTAACATGCACTGAGAACTTCAGGGGTTACTGCCATAGAATACCCCAATATGTGTTCTGCAACATCTCCCAAGTACAGTGATACCACTCATGTATAGGTGTGTCGGTTTATCGGGGGGCTAAAATACCTTTATTTTGAGGGTGTGCATTCCAGGTTTTCAACTTGGAAGTTTCACAGCTGGTCATCATGCACCCATGTTCTATTTGGGACATTTTAAAAGCCAGCCAATGTAATTTACCCCCATCAAACCATACATTTTTGAAAAGTAGACATCCTAGGGTATTTCAAATGGTGGTATTTCAACACTTTCCATGCACTAATTCTACCAACAGTCTTCTACCAGCAGTTCAGAGGTTTTGCTAGGATGTATTTAAACCAGGGCTCGAGTCCTGCAGGAACGCATGGGAACGGCGTTCCTGCACTTTTTCCAAAGCAGGAACGCCGTTCCCGCTAGTAGTCCTGTAGGACCTGCTCTGCTACTTGCACACAGGGGCCCAGCACACTCTGTGTTCCTTCTCCAGCTGCTCTGTCTCACATTTGTGAGTACCGCAGCTGTCAGAGTGTTGCTATGGTTTACCATGTTGAGTGGTTTATTTTTTTTATAATTACTAAATGCAATTTTTTTTGTTTTTTACTATTTTGGCCACATCTGTGGAGTACCAGAGTGGTTTCATGAATTTTTTGTTGCCTTCAGCAGTGCAACTTTTAAATAATGCCATTTCTCTTGGACTCCATTTAAATTGCTCCAGTCTGAGACCTCACTTGGAGTATTGTACGCAGTACTGGGGACCGTATCTCCAGAAGGATATTGATACTTTGGAAAGAGTTCAGAGAAGGGCTACTAGACTGGTTCATGGATTGCAGGATAAAACTTACCAGGAAAGGTTAAAGGAACTTAACATGTATAGCTTGGAGGAAAGACGAGACGGGGGGATATGATAGAAACATTTAATTACATAAAAGGAATCAACACAGTAAAGGAGGAGACTATATTTAAAAGGAAAAACTACCACAACAAGAGGAAAGTCTTAAATTAGAGGGACAAAGGTTTAAAAATACTATCAGGAAGTATTACTTTACTGAGAGAGTAGTGGATGCATGGAACAGCATTCCAGCTGAAGTGGTAGATGTTAACACAGTGAAGGAGTTTAAGCATGCGTGGGATAGGCATAAGGCTATTCTAACTATAAGATATGGCCAGGGACTTATAAAAGTATTTAGAAAATTGGGCAGACTAGATGGGCCGAATGGTTCTTATCTGCCGTCACATTCTATGTTTCTATACTTGCTCTATTGCCGGTTTGGAGATCAACTTGGTAATAATACAGCAATATCCACACTAGGGCAAAGAGAAATCTCTGGCGGTGGATACCCCTCCTCTCTCGGGGTGACCACCACACTTGGGATGGTTTGGTTCACGAACAAGTTCTCAATTCTGTTTGGTTGAGTTTGCATACCGAATCAGTTAAATAAAACAGTGAATCAAGGACAGGGAATCTGTCAGTCTGCTATGGCCTCATTCGACCACTTAAGCACATCAATTTTCCACCTTCTATAAATTCGGTCTCCATTCGACCGCGCAGGTTTTCCTTATACAGTACAACCTCATCCACTTTTTAGACACGGTTAACATCCCAGCTGCTCGTTTTATCAGTTGCATGAACACGTGTCAATCATATTCAGCCATATTAGGCTGGCTCAGGTATTGTGATAACTTTATGCATACAAACAAGAGAAGCTACAGCTGCAGATCTACAACATAAATAAAAACAAATAATAGTGTAACACTGTTGAATAAGTGTAAATGCACTATATTGGATAACACTCACAAGAAGGATGAAAGAATATCACCCAAGGATGCCTCTCCTGATGGAGATGGGGGGTCAAATCCGCTCCTCCTGCTTTAGGAGATGATGAAACCGGACTCTGGGTAGAAGAATAACAATTCTACTTTATTATAAAAATAAAAGCATAAGCTTATATTATACCATGTCCTACGCGTTTCGTCCTATAAGGACCTCCTGGTATTAAAAATTACAATTACAACCAAAATACAATTTTAATCAAAGAAAGCAATATAATCCCTCCCCCCTGAGTCTCTTTTTATATGAGTGGCTTGTCTTCTTATTGGTGTTCTCCTGGGCATTGTTATACAGTGCAGATTCACAAGTACTGGGACAAAGGGATCTGAGGTTACTTCCTATAAGTGCTGAAATGCGTAAATTGAGGATTGAAGCACAATTTTGCAACAAGCTAGGAAAAAAAATTTCTTCTTGACCCCAGAATGGCAGTCAGATTTATCCTTGGATCAAGCAGTTATTACCCTACATTGAAAGATATCATTGAATATTCTGTTTTTGCAAGTATGCATCTAGTAGCTGTTTGAACATCTGTATGGACTCTGATAAAACCACTTCTTCAGGCAGTGCTGAAATGCGTAAATTGAGGATTGCCCCTAACCACTCAGTTTGTTCTAAGGACTCTTGATGGGCCATTGAGTCTTGAGTGCCATTTAAAAGCACCTAGAGTGCCATGCATGGCACACGTGCCGAAGGGTTGCTGACCTGACTTATACAGTAAAGTGTTACTGATGGAAGCCCTAGAGCAGGGGTAGGCAACCTACGGCACAAGTGCCATGCACGGCACTCGAGGTGTCTTTGCATGGCACTCAAGGCTGCTAGAGCCAAAACAGCCTCTGTCCTATCAGGAGTCCCAGTGAAACTTCAGATATCTGCTAATACGAAAACGTGGTGAAGGACAATCCTCAATTTATGCATTGCAGCATGTAGAGGAAGTGATCTCAGATCACTTCCTCCCAGCAATTGTGTATGGAAATCCACACTGTAGTAGCACAGTGCTGTTGCAGCTCCTGTCCTTGACCTGTGCATGGCCAACCTGGTCCCCACTGGAACCCAGGGAGGCCACGAGCACTGCTAGATATACACAGAAATGCAGAATAACCGTCCCCTCATACAAATAATACAAACAGCACACAAACAAACATACACACAATCCGCACAAACGTAACTTGCTAGCAATCCACATACATGCACCTCACATGCAATATCCCAAACAGCCACACACCTACACACACTACCAAACACACAATGTGACATATTCACACACACAATTCCACAAGCAGCCCACATTCATAGGTATCATACATGATACCACAAACTACTCATGAACATATACAATATAATAGCTCATATATGCACAAATACAAAGCAATTACAGTATAAATAACAAGCAGAATACGGCAACATACAACCTCAATTTAAAAAAATAGGACCGGCACGCTACAGGACATCACAATCCTATTTCAGCACAGTGCTACTAAAAGGATGCCTACCCCTGCCATAGAGGCTCAAAAAGAATATGGAAATGGAAATAAATAGGATATGGAAACAAAGAAATAGCAATATATCTCATTGTATTAACAGTGGGGAAAGAGTGAGAAGTCCATTAATATTGATGTAAATTTTATGGCAAGACAGGAGGCTTCATATTTGCTTATCTTTCTTTACTGAACATTCCAGCAGCAAAGAAACAGTTAATAGTAGTAAGGAAAAAACATTAACCAATCAGAGTGTACAGTCATGGAATATAATGTTATCAAGCTCCTCCCAATTCCTTTCTTTGCTGTTTGCCTCCCAGGTGAGTCTATTCCACTTACATTGCTTTGACAAATGTTTTATTAAATTGTACATATCTCGAATTTTTCATATTTTGTTGTGAATTACTTTGTTTTTGCCATTTTTAGTCTATATAGCTCAGTTTATTTACTGCCTAAATGGTTTTGTCACCACTCACTTACACTCTCCCTTTAAACTGACAGTTCTTTAAGGCTCAGTGATTTCTCCTTCTCCCTTTCGGGTATTATTGGTCGCGGCTCTGTTGATACACAGACCCCGACCTATTCCCTCCTCAGCCGCAGACTCCATTTCCCAAGAGTGCGGCAATTTATATTTGCACCATCAAGTTGTTTCCCGCCTTTATTCGCATCTCCTGTGACGTGCTTCTCTCCGCCCACAGAGTGACGGCTGACATTTTTGGACGTGTTTCCCTCCCTTTTGGCTATTGGAACTTCAGCTCAACGGTCGGCATCTCTGCTTCCCAACTGAACTTAAGGTAAGTGTTATTCTTTCACTAAGCACAAGTTTTGTGCTATACTTCCATTAAAGGGATATATTCCCCACATAATTTGCTAAAAAAAAATATTTTTTCTTTTACCAACAGATCTCAAACAAAATTACAACTCTGCTTGCATTTTTATTTTTTTGACATAATAATGGAGAGCTTTTGTGGGTGACCAACACTTATTGCATAACTCTGTGTTTTATTGTGAGTGACCCACAATCACTGAGTTGGAGTTTTCATGAAATTTAGAAAGGGAAATAAAAGCCATGAGGAGAAAATTGAAGCACCTAGTATAATCCAAAATGAAAACACAAGGGAAAAAGAGTCATAAAATAATCCAAATGGTTCTGATTTTATGGCTCTTTATAGACTGGGCCTGGAGCATGAATTTGGAAATAGTTACATAGTTACATAGCTGAAAAGAGACTTGCGTCCATCAAGTTCAGCCTTCCTCACATTTGTTTTTTTGCTGTTGATCCAAAAGAAGGCAAAAAAACCCAGTTTGAAGCACAATTTTGCAACAAGCTAGGAAAAAAATTCCTTCTTGACCCCAGAATGGCAGTCAGATTTATCCTTGGATCAAGCAGTTATTACCCTACATTGAAAGATTATATCCTTGAATATTCTGTTTTGCAAGTATGCATCTAGTAGCTGTTTGAACATCTGTATGGACTCTGATAAAACCACTTCTTCAGGCAGAGCATTACACATCCTGATTTGTTCTTAAAGTAAAAAAGAACTTTCCTTTGCATTAGACGAAATCTTCTTTCTTCCAGTCTAAACGCATGGCCTCGTGTCCTATGTAAAGTCCGGTTTGTGAATAGATTTCCACACAATGGTTTGTATTGGCCCCGAATATATTTATATAATGTTATCAAATCCCCTCTCAGGCAACGTTTTTCTAAACTAAATAGGTTTAAATTTGTTAACCTTTCTTCATAGCTGATATGTTCCATTCCTTTTATTAATTTTGTAGCCCGCCTCTGCACTTTTTCTAGTGCCATAATATCCTTCTTTAGAACAGGTGGCCAAAATTGCACAGAATATTCAATATGTGGTCTTACCAGTGATTTATAAAGAGGCAAAATGATATTCTCGTCCCGAGAATGAATGCCCTTTTTCCTGCATGACAATACCTTACTGGCCTTGGCCACTGCTGATTGACATTGCACATTGTTGTCTATAACAATTCCCAAGTCCTTTTCGTGTGTTATCCCTAATTCTCTTCCATTAAGGGTATACGTTGCTTTTGTATTCTTTACGCCGAAGTGCATAACTTTGCATTTTTCAACATTAAATTTCATCTGCCATTTGAGTGCCCAGTCCCCCAGTCTATCTAAATCCCTCTGCAGCAAAGTAATATCTTGCTCACATTGCAGATGACACAAAACTTTGTAAAATAATACAACCTCCAGGCCCTGGAGCTTTCTTTATATTAACTTTCTTTAGTTGCTGCAGCACCTTGTCTTGAGTTAACCAATTACAATTATTTTGCAAGTTTTTAGTAGCAATCATTTGCACATCTATTGCCATGGGTTCTTCCTTAATATATACTGAGGAGAAATAGTTATCTAAAATTCCTGCCTTTTCCTGGTCTTCATTAACTAACACCCCCGTTTCAGTTTTTAGTGTACCTACACTTTCATTTTAGTTTTTTTAAGAATTCATGTACTTAAAAAATGCTTTGGGGTTGTTTTTGCTCTCTTTAGCTATCATTTTCTCATTCTGGAGTTCAGCAAGTCTAATTGCCCTTTTGCACGTATTATTTGCTTCCTTATATCTTTTATAAGATGCATCTGATTTGTCTGATTTAAATGCCCTTTTCTTATTTTTAACCTCTTGTTTTACTTCTCTACTAAGCCACATTGGTTTTAATTTGTTTCTTTTATATTTATGGTATGGTACATACTGAGAAATTTACCTTTCTAATACTTGTTGGAAGATGATCCATTTATCCTCAGTGTTTATTTCACTAAAGAGTTTATGCCAGTCAATATATTGTAAAGCTTCCCTTAACTTATTGAAATTGGCCTTTTTAAAATTATATGTTTTAGTATTCTGCATGTGCTTTTGTTTTTTTTTTGTTTATTTCAAAGGACACTATATTGTGATCACTATTTCCTAAGTGCTCACCTACTTGAATGTTGGTCAAAAGATCAACGTTGTTTGTTAAAACCAGGTCCAGACAAGCATCCATTCTAGTTGGTGCTTGTACAAGTTGTGACATGAAGGTGTCATTTAACAAGTTTAAAAACCTAATTCCCTTTGCGGAGGCACTAGTCCCTCTGTCCCAATTTATATCTGGGTAATTAAAATCTCCAATAATTAAAGTGTTACCCAGATTTGCAGATTTCTCAATTTGCTCAAACAGCTGTTGTTCCTCGTCAATATTAACATTAGGTGATTTATAACATATACCAACCAATAGTTGGTTTCCCTTCTTTTCCCCAAAGCAGATATTTATCCATAAAGCTTCCACATTTTCCTCATCGCATTCCATTTGCTTAAGAGTTATACCTTGCTGCTTATTTTTTTCTGGAAATTTATGCAATTGATGATTTCTATTATCTAGATTTGTTATAGTTAATTTGTTTATTTGGTGATTCTGTTATGCTTTCTTTTGCCCACATGTTGTGCCTAACCCCTTAACCCCTTCAGGATGGAGTCAATAGTACATGTTCTGACCAAAACAAAATGCAAACAAAAACTGGTATTTGCGCTATGTCTGTTCAACCGTAATTCACCTCATTCATATTAAGTGCACCCACACTTATTATATATGATTTTGTTCAGGAGAAACTGGGCTTTAATTGTTCATGAACTATTCATATTTGAAACATAATTTATGAATAAAATGTAAAAATCTGTGAGAAATTAAGATTTAAAAAAAAAAAAATTGTAGACATTTTAGCTGTAAATGTCATAATACCGTTTGCGTTTACTGCAAAAAAACACATATTTGGATTCAGCAAAGACTCACGAGTACAACAGTACCCCCCATTAGCAGCCTTTACGGTGTTTTGGAAAGTTAAAGGGTCAAATATAACACATTCCATTTTTCAGTTTTTTCAAACTGAAATTCACCAGGTTGGTTATGTTGCCTTTGAGACTGTGTGGTACCCCAGGAATGAGATTTACCCCCATGATGGCATTCCATTTGCAAAAGTAGACAACCCAAGGTATTGCAAGTGGGGTATGTCCAGTCTTTTATAGTAGTCAACACTGGCCAAAGTTAGCGTTCATATTTGTTTTTGTGTTGAAAAAGCAAACACACAAATATTTGGCCAGTGTTTGTGACTAAGTGGCTACTAACAATGACTGGACATACCCCATTTGCAATACCTTGGGTTGTCTACTTTTTCAAATGGTATGCCATCATGGGGGTAATTCTCATTACTGGGCTGCCATACGGTCTCAAATGCAACGTAACCAATCTGGCAAATTTCAATGTGAAAAAAATGAAATCCAAGCCTTATATTTGACTCTCTAACTTTCCAAAACACCATAAAACCTGTACATGAGGGGTACTGTTATACTTGGGAGACTTCACTGAATACAAACATAAGTGTTTCAAAACAGTAATACATATTACAACAATAATATCATCAATAAAAGTGCCGTTCGTGTGTGAAAAATGCAAAAAACTTCACTTTTGTTGTAATACAATTTATCATTTTGAAATACTAATATTTGTGTTCAGCGAAGTCTCCCAAGTAAAACAGTACCCCCCATGTACAGGTTTTATGGTGTCTTGGAAAGTTATAGGGTTAAATATAGCACGTGCGAATTTAAATCTCTGCACTTGCTGCCTGGGTTGTCAGGCACGTTAATCAAATTTTAATTAATTAAATCACATAATTATGTTAAAATATTACTTAACCATACACCTAGAATTTTTATATTTATATATATATATATACATATATATATATATGTGTGTGTGTGTGTGTGTGTGTGTATTTAAATTCTACGTGTATACTTATATAGTTATTTATGTAATTATATATATTTATCTATATATTTGCAGTTATTTGTATTTTATATATAGATAGATCTATATAGAATGTCATTCTAAGTGTATTTTGATATATATATATATATATATATATATATATATTAATAACAAAATACAGTTAGAATGAGATTACATATGTATATATAATTTAATTTTTTTATATTTTATTTACTATTGTAATTATACACGTGTGTGTGTGTGTGTGTGTATATATATATTATATATCTTATATATAACATCATTCTAAGTGTATTTTAATATTAATATATGTGCTTATATTAACATTAAAATACATTATGTATCACGTTACATATATATAAGGTGTGTGTGTGTGTATATATTTATTAGATATATATACTTTTATTTTATTTACACCTCCCACCAGCAGGGGGACTGTCTGACATTTCAGACAGTCCCTCTGCTGGCAGATCCACAGCCAGCTATAGTGGTCCATGTGATTGCTCTTTGAGAGCGATCACATGGCCCCCGGGGGTCTCATTTGCCTGGGGAGGACTGCCTGGGCTGTCAGGCAGCCCTCCAGAAGAGGATCGCGGCGGAGGTGAGTACCTCCAAGCTCCTGGGGCTAATAGCCATTACGGCGTTCTATGCCGCCGCAATGGCATAGAACGCCATAATGGCGTTAAGGGGTTAAGGACTGAGCCAAATGTACACATTGTGATCAAAACTAAACGTAAACAAAACTTAGCATTTGCGCTATATGTCTGTCCAATCGTAATTCACCTCTTTCATATTAATTGCACACACTTATTATATATAATTGTATTTAGGGGAAACAGGGCTTTTATTTAACATTAAATATTTAGCTATGAAACATAATTTAATATGAATAAAATATAAAAAAAATGGGAGAAAATAAGAATTTTAATTTTTTTTTTAGTTTTATGTGAGTTAACTGTCTACAACAGTCAAAAACAAATCAAAATGGGCCACCAAACGAAATACAACTATTTCCCCATGGAACAAATGGTGCCCAGTTCTGTTACTCAACCAATTTCATCTGCTCCTATTGGGTCAGAACAAAAGTGCTTCTCTACTGAGCTTACACGGTAAACCGCTGACAACATCTAAATTCTTGGTGTACATAAGATCTCTATTTTCAAAAATAGGTTGCGATCCATCAGCCTTCATGGGCCATTCAATTCGTATAGTGGCAGCAACAGCTGCCTCTTGTCAAAACATACCAGTACATCTAATCAAAAGACTGGGAAAATGGAAATCGTCAGCATACAACCGCTATATACCTCAACTGGAAAAATAACTTGGACTAGCATTCAAAGACTTAGCCAAGTAATGATACAATTTCATGTCTTCACTGTTGCTATTAACAAATACATACTTATTAAAGTTTGCATGTAAATCTCTTTTTGCACTCTTTATTTACAGGCCTGCCCGAACATCGGTTTCGGCACACCACAACCGACTTTAGTAAATTTAAAGGTCATGGTTATTATTTTTTCCCTGACCACAAATGGGAAGGCTGAGCCTGGAGTTGTGGGAGGGGTTTATCCGGCCTATATAAGCCCAAACCTACCTCCATTTGGGTGCTGACGTTGATTGGCTACCCTACCCACCACTCCCTCTAATACAAATTCGTCGGTTTCAGCATATGCTTACTCTGCATTTTTGCTTGACCACAAATATATATATATATATATATATATATACACACACACACACACACACACACACACACACACACACACACACACACACTTTTATTTCCTATATGTATAATATATTAAAAAAAAATTAAAGCATTTTATAATGTAGTATACATATATAATGCATATATATATGATTTCATTTTAAGTGTATTTTGAGATATATGTGTATATATCTTAAAGTACACTTATAATGAAATCATATATATGTATAATATATATATATGTGTGTGTGTGTGTGTGTGTGTATATCTATCTATATCTATATATATATATATATATATATATATATACATATATATATATATAATCTATATCTCCAAAAAGCAAAGGTGACCAGCACTCACGGATTCATTAATTAATTAAAACATCCAAAGTTTAATGAAAATAAAATAAAAAAGATTGTTGACAGCTCAACGTTTCAGTCCTCCTCTGGGACTTTCATCAGGAACAACGGTTGTTCCCGATGAAAGTGCAAGGATTTTGTGTTTCTCTCTCTCTCTTTCTCTCTCTCTCTCTATCTATCTATATACACACACACACACAAATGTAGGGAACAAGAGGCAAGCACTCACGGTGTTATCAGGGACGTCAATGGGAGCGGCTATGGCGCCTATGTACGCCAATTCATAAATGTACATCTTTGATACAGAACATATATTAGAACCATTCAAACGAAATATCATAAAGTATTTTCGCTTCATAGATGACATCCTGATAATTTGGCGGGGTACTAAAACACAAGCTCAAGAAATGGTGGAACACATTAATCAACTCCCGACACCGATACAGACAGCCAATGTGAACACAGAGAAGGTACAATTCCTAGATGTGGAACCATCCGTGGAAAATCATAGAATGGTCTATAGCCTCTACTCCAAACCTACAGATAGGAACACCATACTACACTATAATAGTGCGCATCCGATGAATTTGAAAAAGTCTATACCTAAAGCCCAATTTCTCAGTGTCATGAGAAATAACTCAAAGGAAATGACGAAACAACAACAATTGCAAGAAATGAAAATGAAATTTCTGGATAGAGGATACAGTGAAAGAGTCTTAGATAAAGCATTGGAAGAAGCAGAAAAGAATGCGACCACTTTACAAGACACGATTAGAGGTCCCAAATTGGTCTTTCCTATGACGTTCCATAATAAATCACAGAAAATAACCAATATTGTGAAGCGTAATTGGAACATGTTGGCATGTGATAATAGTTTACCGAAAGAATTCAAGGAATCACCGAGAATTTGTTATCGAAGAAACAGAAATTTAAAGGATATACTAATGAGAACAGACCCTGTTGAGAGCTATACTGAGCAGAAGAAAATACAAATAAGAGGTAGTGTGCGCTGTTTAGGTTGCGTGACGTGTAGTCACATGGTTCCAGCACGTAATTTTAACCATCCACATAAAAACAAGATGTACAAGATACAGCATACCATCACGTGTAGGATGACCCATGTAATATACAAAATATCATGCCCTTGTGGCTTGGTCTACATAGGGAAAACTGAAACACAACTTTGCGATAGAATTAGGGGTCACAGATCTAATATAAGAACTGCCTATAGAGATGGATATACGGACAAACCTGTGGCGAAACACTTTTTAGAATATAAACATTCTTTGACCATGTTAAAATTTGTAGCAATTGATTGGATACCATGTTCCAGAAGAGGAGGAGATAGAGGCAATGCCCTGTTGAGAAGAGAGACATTCTGGATACATGAATTGGATACAGTGGCTCCAAGAGGACTGAATGAAATGATATCATATCATCCGTTTATATGAGTAGTGTTGAAATAATTGACTGCCTCCTCTGAGTTTATGAATATATATTTTTAATTAGAATTAGAGGAAGAATATATTTATCTATTAAGAATTAATATGTATTAATATTAAGATAAGACAATAGAGACAAAACATTATGTATCCAAATTAGGAATAGGTCCTATAGCATAAAATATAAATACTATTGTATTAAAGCAAAGATATGAAAGCATGAGCAAAAGTATTATTCCACCTATTTAGATAAATGGTAACATCTAATACCCTAACTGAATAAAAATATTTACTTTAATTAGGGGGAAAGTTATTATGATTAGATGGTAAGGTAGGTTAAGTAATTGTATAGGTATAGATATACACTATATATTATAATAATGAATTATGTAAATAATTTATGTAAATAACACTATAAAGTATTAAGTTAATCACCTCACTAGTTTTTGTATCTAAGATAGGAACACAATCTTTTGCACTTCTATGCATATAAAATAGTAATGTATTACTTTAAATATATAGATTGAGAGACTCCATATTAAAGTAAATGTAAGAAGCACTTTAGTGTATATAAATAGCACTAGTACCACTTTACACCATATTGCACTTTATTGTATAAAATCAATAATTGTTAGCACTTTATTGTACATAAATAGCACTATTAGCACTTTGAGTTTATTGAAATGCAATTTACTGTACACTATTTATATCTGTTACCTTAAATGCATTTAATAGGAACTATATAATTAGATGTGGAAAAACTTTACCTTCATAAAATTATGCTTAGGAACTAGATACATAAATAGTTTCTATAAATACAGACAATAATGTTAGTTAGGTCAAGGAACATTAAATGGAATAATAAGAATCCTCTAATTATTATAATATATGTTCAATTTTAAATTCTATGTCTGACTTCTGAGGGAGTTAGATCCCCAGGGCTGAGCGATCAATAGAGAGCGAGTACATCACTTGCTGGGTTGCCATGGAGCCAGGTAAATATACCGGGTAACCATAGCAACGGTGACGTCAACACGCTACTTCCGGGTAGCGGCAGATTGACGCATGCGCAGAGATGGCGTTAGAACGCCGTGGAAGCGGTACAGCCTTCAGGTGGTGAGTGTTTTAATCATTAATTGCATAATTTGTTTTGTTATATAAACGTGTTATTTGTAATGTATATTTTGAGCTGTAAAGATCCTGATGAAAGCCATGTAGTGTGGCTGAAACGTCGATCAAGTTTTAAGCAATGAAATAAAAGGAAAATCGTTTTAAAGAAACCACAAGACCGTGAGTGCTTGCCTCTTGTTCCCTATATTTGTGTATATTATGGCATTGGCTTGACAGCACCAGCATAAATCTACATTGAAGTGCGTGTGCAAGGAGACAATAGGACTATATATATATATATATATATATATATATATATATATATATAGTGTGTGTGTGTATATATATATATATATATATATATATATATTTATTTATTTATTACAATGTTAAACAAAAATCTGCATACCAGTCAAGCCATAAGACTTGCTTTTCCCACAGAAATCACAAATCTGCAGTGATATTACTACCGCAAAGGATTTCCCCCAAAATATATATATGATCTAAGTACTTTTATTTACTTTTTAAAAAAATTTGTAAAACTATTCTGCAGGCATTAGGGGGACTGTCTGAGAGCTCAGGCAGGCCCCCAGCAGGCACTGCACAAGCCGGCTATTCCGGCCATGTGATCGCGAGGACCCTGCAATCACATGGCCCCGGGGGGGAGAGGGAGGGGCGGGACAGACTCAGGGGGACTGCCTGGGATTCCAGGTAAGTCCCCCACATTGCGACCGATGAAGGGGGATCGCCAGCGAACAGGTAAATGCCTATTTGCTATAGGACGTACCAGGTACATCCAAGGTCGGGAAGGGGTTAATATTAGACACAACAATTTCAGGAAAATAATTTACAAATATTTGTCATAAATTTTGAGACCAAAAAAGCAAATTAATTTTTATATTGTCATATTGTATCAGAAATACATTTTTTTTAAAGCTTGGATAAACCCAGATGTTTGGAATTCAGAGTATTTCAGAAGAGTATTTATGTAAGCTTTCTTCAAAGATAAAAGATTGTCCTTAATTAGTAATGGAAACTACATTATGAAATAATCTTTGACAGGTGACTACTTTCTTTTTTTCATTCTTTATTATAAATGTTTGTTTTGAAATCAGAATGGCAGTCAACAATCAAACAGGAGTAAGTTTATTGGCAAGTTCAGAATATTACCTGCAGAATTACATTAAAGTGTCAGTTCACGTTTGATGTAAAAGAAGGTCTGCAAGTCCTGTATTTCAGGCATTTGATGAATGCCTGTTATCCACAAGAGTGGCCTTTTGAAATATCAAAAGGTAAAAGTTGTCCTTGATGCAATACATGTGCTGGGATTTTAAGAGGTCAAAGGAGACTAGTATCTAAAAAAAAAAGTAATCGGGCTAAAAGAAAACCTATTTAAGATGACGAGTCAGGAATAATGAGTTAGGAATTGGTTTGGTTATTTTGTGGTTACCTTACTGCAAATTTGGAAGGACATGTTAATAAAAGCTCTAGTTGAACAGGATTTTAGGATATGTGATTATATAATAACTGATCAGCTGATCATTATTGTTATGCTCTGCAATCCATTGCAAAAATCACAATAAAACTGTATAGGATTTTAAATCCCCAAGTAGCTTATAGAATAAATACATATTAGAAGGAATCTTAGTTTCATTTATTGGAATTGCCGCTTTGTTCACAGCATGGATGTTACTTTTCCTTTCTCGCATAACATGGATCCTAACAGACGCTGTAACAACTTGTGCCATTTCAAAATCTATCAATTTCAGGAGTCAGAGTGAAATGCAAGATGTGCAAAGTGGCGCCCTAGGAAGCAGCAGTATTAAAAATAGATATATATTCATATGTACAAAGCTACAAACATTGATATGGGTTGCTGATGGTTCATTAAACGTAATGGGATTTTTTTATCTTATGTTTACTGGTTACGGTATTTAACTAATATTTGTTTATCCACCCCTTGTTGCCTCCATCTTAGATTCCTGACAGTCATTGTTATAAGTTCTGTCCTAACATTGTTCTTCATTTGCAATATTTTCTGAACTGGATTATGATGTGATTTCCTAAATCTTTAAAAGACGACAAAGTATGAAGGCTAGCTCAAGTTATTGGTGATTTTTAATGTTTTTAATTTCTAGATCCCCTTTAACCCCTTAAGGACACATGACATGGGTGACATGTCATGATTCCCTTTTATTCCAGAAGTTTGGTCCTTAAGGGGTTAAGGCATTCATCTGTTAATGATCTAGTAAGCAAGCAGACTTATTTTTGTTTCTTCTGTCCCCTGTGTCATTTACAGTACTAATTTTTTTTTCTTTCTGATAATTTCCTTCTTATTTAGAGTCAGATGTACATTCCATATGCTATTTAGATTGAATTTAGTATTATAGATTGGTGTGCCTCTTCATAAAACATACAATAGAATACAAAAGAAATCAGACAAAATTCCTTTACCTACTCAAAATTAGAACAAGTCACCAGGCACCCTATTACTAAATGCATTAAGAAGAAAGAACTGGAAAACTGAACTTTTTCAGATTTTATCCTAAATGAAGTTAGATTTTACAAACTCTGATGGTAAACGCTTTGCGTGTCCCTTGTTGATTGCTAGGAGATGTAATTATTTTTAATATGGTTTGTAATGCATCATTGATTTATGAAAACACATGCTCACAGTAAAAAAAAATAACATTTTCCTTTTTAGGGTATCCAGTTAACTGCATAAGGGCCTGTTGTCTTTTTAAATGATAATTTTCATAGTGATATTGATACTTGCAAGGTTATTTATTAAAGTGAGAATTCAAACTGAATTTCAAATTTAAGGTCAGAGTAGCCAAAATGAAAGTACAGCTGACTTAGAGAATATTTCTAGTTTGGCTATTTTAACTTTACATTTGAAATATTCTTTGGATCATGTTAGATTCACATTTGCTGCATGTACACAATATTAATCAATTTTAGATAAAGAAGTCTCCTAAAATTAAAGTAAAAAAAAATATTTTTTTGGATAATTTGGGAAACTGATATTTATTACCATCAAGAAATAGTATTACAAAAATAAAACGTAGGTTTAAGTAATTAAAATGTTCTAATTCTGTAACAGTGATACTTAGGAAATATGAAAATATAAAACAATGAAGATGTTTTAGAAAGAACCATTGCAAGAAAGTATGGTATGCAGAATTGTTTACAGGTAATGAATATGAGACCTGACTACAAACCATCGTCATGCTACTGAAAATTTCCTATAAATAAAAGGAAGACCATAATCCACCAACTATGATTTTTGCAAGCGACTTAACATATAGCTTTAAAGATGTACCAGGATGTTAATCTTGTTTCTGAGACAAGTCTTTGTTTTGTTGGGTATCAGCATAATCACTGAGTTGGAGGTTTCATTTCATGAAATTTAAAAAGGGAAATAAAAGCCATGAGTAGAAAATTGAAGCACCTAGTATAATCCAAAATGCAAACACAAGGGAAAAAGAGTCATAAAATAATCCAAATGGTTCTGATTTTATGGCTCTCTACAGACTGGGCCTGGAGCATGAATTTGGAAATAGTTATACCTTGCTGCTTATTTTTTCTGGAAATTTATGCAATTGATTTCTGTTATCTTTCTGTTATATTTCTGTTATCTAGATTTGTTATAGTTCATTTGTTTATTTGGTGATTCTGTTATGCTTTCTTTTGCCCACATGTTGTGCCTAACCCCTTCAGGACTGAGCCAAATGTACACATTGTGATCAAAACTAAACGTAAACAAAACCTGGCATTTGCGCTATGTCCGTCCAACCGTAATTCACCTCTTTAATATTAATTGCACCCACACTTATTATATATAATTTTATTTAGGGGAAACAGGGCTTTTATTTAATATCAAATATTTAGCTGTGAAACATAATTTAATATATGAATAAAATATTTTTAAAAAATGGGAGAAAATTTGAATTTAAATTTTTCCCTTCAGATTAGAGGCAGTGCTTTACAACTGGGATTTCATCACCTGGAGGGAAAAAAACAGGCAAGCAATCTCCCAAACTTTTCAAGAACCTCCCCCAATTAACCTTTGGCCTTATAAATTGCTTCCTACCCAAGACATCCCCAGTTCTTTGCCTGCCTCCAGCAGAGGAGGGTGTCAGGTTCAGGTTTTCTCCCTAGAAGTATGGTGAGAGGGCTGAGGCTCTGGAGGCTCTACTTCTTTTAAATAAACTTTTCAGAGATTAGCCAGGTATAACACACCAGGCGGCTGTATCTCCCCGGGTTGCATTACTTCCGTCTATACCGAGCCAGGTGCCGGGCAGACGATGGTGTGCATTTGTGCACTAGCTGGGAAGTCCTGGCGGTGGAACACTCGTACAGGTTATGTTTATTTCCACCGTGGAATCGCGAAATGCAGGACATGCGTAATGCGATTTAAAATTCAGGTGCCAATATCTTTATTTTTTCTCTCTGGGGTCAAGATGTTGGCTTCCAGGACTTAGAGAGGCTGTTTACCCAGCAGCAACTAACTGTTGCCAGGTGCACTCAGAATCTGTTGCAAGTGTGTTCTCACAAACCTCCAACACACTCTGAGGACATTTAAGGTAAGCCTTTTTGCTTTTATCTTAAATGACTCTAGCCTGAATAAGTTAATTATCTGTGCTGCAAGATGGATAAGCTAAAAAAGTGCAAATGTTTCTAAGTTGGAGAGTTTTTAGCTTCTCATCACTCATTATTCCTAAAATCTTAAAACAAATAGTGCTTTAAAAGTGTAAGCACTTAGTAGATCGGGCCCATAATAGATTCTTTGGTTTTCTTCTTCTAAAAAAAATAGATTATTCTTTGAGTAAAGCCTATAAAGGGTATTAGAGAAGAATGTACTTTTACATAATCCTATTTTTGGTAAATTTAAGTTTCATTTCTGGCTCAAAATAGCTGCTACACAGTGATTAGTTAACATGGGTCTCAATAATCACTAATTGCTGCAACAGGGTCAGTAATTAAGTGAAGTGTTCCGGTGGAATATAATCACAGGAGCAAGACCCATATGACTATTGGAGGATTATCCTCTGTATGTTATCCTTAAGAAGCTGATATTTAATATCTGCTTTTTGGTTAAGTTAATATACTGTTGTAGCAGATGGATTCTTTAAATGCCAGGAACCTAGCCGCAGTGTTTATTTTCTTAAAACATGCAGTAGGCTTTTATCAATTGCTGTAGACAAAGCTCTGTTGCAATTAGCATTCTCACCACCTCAACTAGTTTAACCTGATATCAGTTTCTTAAAAGGCAGTCTGTTTTTCAGCTGGGGCAGAACTTTTCCTGTGCTTCACTCCATGGTTGCACATTTTATGTTTTGTCTTAAATTCCAAGTCCTATGTTGTCAGTTACAAAGACAGTAGTGATGTCGCAGACATAAAATTTTCGGTTTGCGAACTGCGAACGCAAATTTCCGCAAATGTTTGCGAACCGGGCGAGCCGCTCTTTCTGGCCACAATAGTGATGGAAAAGTTGTTTCAAAGGGACTAACACCTGGACTGTGGCATGCCGGAGGGGGATCCATGGCAAAACTCCCATGGAAAATTACATAGTTGATGCAGAGTCTGGTTTTAATCCATAAAGGGCATAAATCACCTAACATTCCTAAATTGTTTGGAATAACGTGCTTTAAAACATCAGGTATGATGTTGTATCGATCAGGTAGTGTAAGGGTTACGCCCGCTTCACAGTGACAGACCAAACTCCCCGTTTAACGCACCGCAAACAACCGCAAACAGTCCATTTGCACAACCGCAAACTCCCCATTTGCACAAGGTTGGATACCAAGCTAGCCATGTCCCGTTCCTTGTCCTCACTGATGTCATTGAAAGTCTCTTCCTCCACCCAGCCACGTACAACACCAAGGGTCCCCGAAAGGTGACAACAAGCCCCCTGGGACGCCTGCTGTGTTTGGTCTTCCACCTCCTCAAAGCCACCTTCCTCCTCTGACTCCTCTTCTTCAGACTCCTCTCTCTGCGTTGCCTCTCTCTGCGTTGCCTCTCTCTGCGTTATTATAAGGTGTGTTAAGTAGTACTATTCCTATCAGTTTAATCCCTGTTACGTCCCCTATCAGGGGACGTGTATATGGCATCGATTTTAGGAACCGGGAGATGGAAAAAGATGCTTGGTTGGTCCTCCTACTTCAAATTTGGGGCACTGCGCATGCAATCTAATGTGCCACCAGATAGGAGTGGTGTGTTAAGTAATACTATTCTTATCAGTTTAATCCCAATGTCACGACTACTAGTGTGGTCCAGCACGCAGAAACTATGTAAACATATACATAGGCAAGAAAAGGAAAATAAAAGGACAAAGCGTAAAACGGACCTTAGAATGGCCGGACTAATACGCTAGAGACAGAGAATGGTCAAAGGGAAAGCCGAGGTCAAGGAAGCCAGAAAATACACAATACCGTTTACACAAGCCAAGTCAGGGAAGCCAGAATTCAGAATAACCAGGGAAAAGCCAAGATCAGGATACCAGGAAATCAGATTAACAATGATAAAGCACTCTCAGGAAACCAGGAACAGGAAACCACGACAGGGCAAGGTACTGGGGTGAGCTAGGGATTTAAATATCACGCTGCGGGCCGGCAGCCGCGACACCCTGTTACGTCCCCCTCATCAGGCCTATTTTAGTCGAATGTATCGCCCACTGTCAGTTCCTTCGGGATCCATCCCTCATTCATCTTAATAAAGGTGAGGTAATCTAGACTTTTTTGACCTAGGCCACTTCTCTTCTCAGTGACAATACCTCCTGCTGCACTGAAGGTCCTTTCTGACAGGACACTTGAAGCGGGGCAGGCCAGAAGTTCTATCGCAAATTGGGATAGCTCAGGCCACTGGTCAAGCCTGCACACCCAGTAGTCAAGGGGTTCATCGCTCCTCAAAGTGTTGATATCTGCAGTTAAGGCGAAGTAGTCTGCTACCTGTCGGTCGAGTCGTTCTCTGAGGGTGGACCCCGAAGGGCTGTGGCGATGCGTAGGACTTAAGCTCTGCATGTCCTCCATCAACAACACGTCTGTAAAGCGTGCTGTCCTTGCCGGCGTGGTCGTGGGAGGAGGAGGATTACTTTCATCTCTTCCCTTGTTAGATTCCTGTTGTGCTGTGACATCACCCTTATACGCTGTGTAAAGCATACTTTTTAATTGATTTTGGAACTGCTGCATCCTTTCCGACTTGCCGTAATTCGGTAACATTTCAGGCACTTTCTGCTTATACCGGGGGTCTAGTAGCGTGGACACCCAGTACAGGTTGTTCTCCTTCAGCCTTTTTGCACCCCATTTGACCCCATTTGCACAAGGTTGGATGCCGAGCTACTCATGTCCTGTTCCTCGTCCTCAGTGATTTCACTGAAGGTATGTTCTCCTCCCCCCAGCCACGTACAACACCACGGGTACCAGATAGGTGACAACGAGCACCCTGGAATGCCTGTTGTGGTTGGTCTTCCTCCTCCTCCTCAAAGCCACATTCCTCCTCTTCCTCACAATCTTCTTCCAGCGTTGCCGCAGGTCCAGCAAGCGATGCTGATAAGGCTGTTTCTGGTGGTGATGGTGACCACAACTCTTCCTCTTCATGCTAATCTACGGCCTGATCCAGCACTCTTCACAGGGCACACTCCAGGAAGAAAACAAATTGGTATGATGTTGCTGATGGTGCCTTCGGTGCGACTGACTAGGTTTGTCACCTCCTCAAAAGGACGCATGAGCGTCCAGTAACGTGGCAAAATAATTCCCAGCTCCGCAGAGGCTGTCCTAGCACCCCGGTCATACAAATACTCGTTAACGTCTTTTTCTTGTTGGAGCAGGCGGTCGAACATTAGGAGTGTTGAATTCCAACGTGTCAGGCTGTCGCAAATCAAGCACCTCACTGGCATGTTTTTTTGCAGCTGGATATCTGAAAAGTGCGCCATGGCCGTGTAGGAACGCCTGAAATGGCCACACACCTTCCTGGCCTGCTTCAGGACGTCCTGTAAGCCTGGGTACTTATGCACAAAGCGTTGTACGATCAGATTACACACATATGCCATGCACGGCAACTTGCCCAAATGCAATGCCGCCAACAAATTTCTTCCGTTGTCACAAACCACTTTGCCAATCTCCAGTTGGAGCGGAGTCAGCCACTGATCCACCTGTGCGTTCAGGGTGGACAGGAGTGCTGGTGTGGTGTGACTCTCTGCTTTCAGGCAAGTCAACCCCAAGACGGCGTGACACTGCCGTATCCGGGATGTGGAATAGTACCTGGGGAGCTGGGGGGGTGCCGTTGATGTGGAGCAAGACGCAGCAGCAGAAGAGGACTCAGCCGAGGAGGTTATGGAAGAGGATGGAGTAGGAGGAGTAGAGGAGGTGGCAGCAGGACTGCCTGCAAGTTGTGGCGGTGTCACCAACTCCTCTGCAGAGCCATGCATTCCATGCTTGGCAGCAGTCAGCAGGTTTACCCAATGCGCAGTGTAGGTGATATACCTGCCCTGACCATGCTTTGCAGACCAGGTATCAGTGGTCAGATGGACCCTTGCCCCAACACTGTGTGCCAGACATGCCATTACTTCCTTTTGCACAATCGAGTACAGGTTGGGGATTGCCTTTTGTGCAAAGAAATTTCGGCTGGGTACCTTCCACTGTGGTGTCCCAATAGCTACAAATTTTTTGAATGCCTCAGACTCCACCAGCTTGTATAGTAAAAGCTGGCGGGCTAAGAGTTCAGTAAAGCCAGCTGTCAGACGCCGGGCAAAGGGGTGACTTTGTGACATTGGCTTCTTACGCTCAAACATGTCCTTGACAGACACCTGACTGTGGGCAGATGAGCAGAAACTGCTCAAGGTGAGAGACGGAGGGGCGGATGGTTGAGAGGGGGCAAGGAGGACAGCAGTGGTTAACGTGTCTGAAGATGCTGGACCAGGAGGAGGATGGCGGCTTTGAGTTTGTGTGCTGCTTGTACTCATGTATTGATCCCATAGGCGTTTGTGATGTGCTATCATGTGCCTTCGCAAAGCAGTTGTACCTAGGTGGGTGTTGGACTTCCCACGACTCAGTTTCTTTTGGCACAGGTTGCAAATGGCATCGCTGTTGTCAGAGGCAGACACACAAAAAATGCCACAATGCTGAGCTCTGCAATGACGGCATTCTGGTGGTGGTAACAGCATGCGTTGATTGGTGTGCTGTCTGGCTGACCCTGGGTGCCGATGCATGCTGTCAGACTGTGCCACTAGCTCCTTGCAACAACCTCCCCCTGCTTCCAACTCGTCATCTCCTCCTCCTCCTCCTCTCTGTCTCCCCATCTGAACTTTCCCCCTGTTCTTCTTCTCTTCTAGCGGGCACCCACGTGACATCCACAGACGCATCGTCATCATCAACCACTTCGCTTGTATCTGACAACTCAGCAAAGGAAGCAGCAGCGGGTACATCATCATCATCATCATCACACCGTACGTCCATGTGTGTAATGCTGCCTGACTGAGACATATCCCTGTTATCTACATCCTCTGGCAATAATGGTTGCGCATCACTCATTTCTTCCAACTGATGTGTAAATAACTCCTCTGACATACCAAGTGAAGCTGCTGTAGTGCTAGTGTTGGTGGTGGCGGCAGGCGGGCGAGTGGTAACTTGAGAGGTGCCCGAAGCTAAGCTGGAGGATGGTGCATCAAGGTTC